AAATTTAGATTTCAAACTATTATTCATATAATTTATATTTTAGGAAAGTTTTACAAGTAATAATTTTAATTGTTTCAAATAAACTCTATCAAAAATATTTTTTAGAACGATTCCATATTAAAAATACATTAAATATTAAAAAGCAATTTAAGTATTAACTTTTTTCATTATTTATAATGTCACAATGGCAAGCATATTAATTAAATGATATGTAATTTTTTATAATTATTAAATCATTTTATTTAATATATTTTATCATTGTAATTTTATAAATATAATACTATTTTACATATTTATATATTTTGAACAGTTTAATTTGACATAACTGTTTTAAATTTATACCAATCTAATTTAAATTTTTGAAATATTTTGCTAGTAAACTATTACAATAAAAATTCGTAAATCATAAAAATGTATAAAATTTTAAATATGTATTTTAAAACAGTAATTTTATGAAATTTAACATTTTATATATAAAAATGTTTGTATATTATATGAATTATATCAGTTCGACATTTATAAATACATAAATTTATATTTTCATCAGAGAAAATGAAGCGCAATTTAAAGGATAATGACCTATTTCAATTAAAAAAAAAAATAATAATGTTTTTAACATTTATTGAGAATAATTGAATTAGAATTTTTTATGATAACAATGATAAATTTTTATACTATACTCAATGTTTTCTTAAGTTTAGTAATAGATGACTTACTTTTAATTAGATAATACATATTTAGTATTTTATTAGCAATGCCTATAAAAAGGTAATAGAATTTTATCATTTCCGTTAAAAAAATATTATAAATTGAAATTGGTCATATATATTAAGAAGTATATTTAACAAAATTTCATGATGATTACTTTCTTTAAGAGATTTAAATATTGCTTAAGGATGACAACTTTTCCTTGTCTCCTCTAAATGTGTGAAAATAATAAATAACACAATTTATGCATTGACGCAAACGTGCATGTATTTATTTAAGAATTTACATTAAATTCGTTTAGTAAATTAAATTTAGATTTCAAATCATTATTCATATAATTTATGTTTTAGGAAAGCATTACAAATAATAAAATAGTATTATTTGTTTGAAAAAATCTCGGTCAAAAATATTTTTTAAAATGAGTCCACATTAAAAATAAATAAAATATCAATAAACAGTTTCAGTATTAAATCTTTTCATTATTTATAATGTCACAATGGTAAGCATATTAATTAGATAATATGTAAATTTTTATAATTATTAAATCATTTTATTTATAATAATTTTGCCTTTTGTCAGGAAAATAATTAATAATTTTTATTAAATCTGTAAAAATATTTTATAGAGAAACAAAAAATAGAATAAATTCAAGAATAAGTTTTATATAGACAAAAAAAATCAACTCTCTAAAAATATTTGCAGACTTATTTAAAATAAAATAAAATAAATTAAATTAAATTAAACTTCATTATTCAGTTATATCAGATCTAAAATGATTTGTACAATAAATATAACTAATTACGCTAAAATTTAAAATTACTAATATATTTAATTATAATAATAATGGTGATTAACGTTGATAAATGAAATTCAATTATATAAAAAGTATTTTTATAGTTATATAAAACCAAATATATGGCCTTAATTATAAACAAACAATATAATGCATTTCTATTGTAATATCCAGTAGCAAGCATATAGTATCAATAAATTTTTTAATAATTTAATCATGTTTTCGTAATGTTTAATTTTGAACTGCATTATTTAATAATGTAATTTTGTACAAATCAAAGCAATATTAATTAAAGAAATAACATTGTTAAAATTATTTATTGTTTTTTCAAATTTACACACAATTTATCTGTTATTTCCCTGGGACATAATGAACACTTTTTTTCCTTAATGCATTTACTACAATACCAACCATGACCACATGGTATCATTATGTGTCTGTTTGAATGATCATCATCATCTATAATATGACTACGACATCTTACACAACGCACTTTTCGTCTATCTATGGCACATCTTGGCTGTATGGGCTCATACACTAAATGCAAAATTTAAAAATTAGTTCCTTTTCTAGGAGAATAGTTTTCAGGAGTGAGTAGCTATTTCACTATTCAAGGATATAAGTAATGTTAAATTATAATTAAATTTTTAGGGGAACGTGTTTTGCACATCTATAATCGTATTAAGGAAAATAAAAGAGTTTTAAAAAATGACTTTTAAAAAATAACACGTATCTTTTAAAAATATAATATATGTATTACTCTTTTTATTTATTTTTCAAAATAAAAAAAGAAATTATATCACATAAGATTATATAGAGAAAATAATAAAAAAATTTTCCTAGTGTGGGTTTTTTAAATTAATGTTATAAAATTTAATTAACAATTTTATTAATATCATAAAGTAATATTTTTTAAATAAATATTAATATTATTAATTATATATTGATATTTTGGATGGAATTTTAATTTTATCTATTGGAAATTTAAAATATATTGGAATAGATAGTTATACAGATTGGAAAGTAATCGACTTCATGACTCCTTAAGGTTTGTTAACAAAATGTATATTTTTATAACCGTCCACTATAAATAGACTATTGTTAAACTCTTTTTTTACAAAAAATAATAATAGTTCCATGATAACTTTAGGAATAAATAGTTTCAAATATATTTTGATCATAAAAACAAAAAGGTATTAGTTGTTAAAAGAAAAAATTGATTAACTAAATAGTTATAGTAAAAAAGTTATTAGATTTTTCATATCATCTTGACTGACACATTTCATATACGGTAATGAAAAAAAACAGTTTTCACTAAGTCAATTTTACTAAAGAATTTTACCTTCATAGTTTTAATATGATAAAGACATATAATTTCAAATAATTTTTATTTGTAATCCATTTGTGAAAATAAAATAGTTTTATTTATTTATATATTTATGTATGTACATTTATTTCTGATAAATTTAAAACCAAGAATTTTAAATCAATAATTGTATATCGTTCTTGCAGAAATATTATAACCACTATTAACACATTTGATAATACTGAAGATATTTGCACAAACAGTTCCTAAATAATATAATAAATATAGCTTTCAGTATAGTAATGAGTTTCTAAAAAAGAAAATCATGTAATTTCTGGATGGATATATAATTTTAGTAGTGTATCCAAGAGGGAGGTGGCTTTAAATAACCCCCAATTTTCTAATTATTATGATTCAATGTATTTAACTTTAACGTTACTAATACTATGTGATAAACAAAAAAATAGATTCCTAGACCACTCAAGCTAATGTACCAAACATAAAAGCCAATATAAAGAAACGCTTCTATTATTTTATTTCATTAGTGTTTCAATAATTATAATTTATATACTTTCAGTAACTATTGACACAGATGTTTCTATATTTAGTACTTGAAAACTTTTAATGTCTTGATGACATACAGGACACTCAGTCAATTGTCGACTACACCATTCACAGCACCAGCCATGACCACATGGTGCAACAATGTAAATTTCATAAGTCGTACCTATGTGTTCTCTCTTGCATCTTGTACAATAGCTTTGATCTATAGCAAAAATAGATAAAGCTGATAAATAATTATATTGGTATTAACATTTGCAAATTTTATAGTTCAATAGCATTTTAATTATTTTTTTAAAGCATTTAAAACCCATTTATTATTATTATTATTGGTTATTTACCAAATATATACTTATAGTATAATTTGAGATTTTTGAAAACTATATTTAAAATATTAGCCATTAATTCCATTATCTTGAAATTAAATTACAAATTTGTACAGAAAAATATTTCATAAATTATAAAATTAATTTTAAAATTCATAAAAATTATGTAATTTAATAAAACGATATAAAAACAAAACTTCCTTCTTACATTTATCTCCAGTTATATCTTTGTAACCAGAACAATGTTGTTCTAAAGCCAAGCGACCTCTAATAACTTGATTATTTAAATTATGGTAGTTTTTTAATTTGCGTATAGACATGTACTTCATTGATACTTCATGAGGTTCTTTTAAAAAGTTTAATTTATTTTTTATTAATTCCATGCAGTTAAATAAATCCCTTCTGTATATTCCGTTTTCTTTTTTAAATTTGTATTTGTTATTTTTTTTTTCGTATTTTTTGTAAACATCTAAAATACATTCATACGGTTCAGGAGAAATCCATTCTCTATTAATTATCGGTATAAGTTCAGTAAGTTTATCACTAAATAATTTTAAGTAAAATGATATTTCAGCACCTCTTTTATTCATTGCTCTTGCAAATTCGCAGAACCGATACATATATGTAAAGGCCATACTTTCAATAGCGTTCAAAAAAATCGTATAAGCCAATTTATATTTTTTTTTGTACGTACATCTTTTAACCACAGCCTCCAATGTTATATTTATTATTTCTATACCTTCATAAGGAACTTCAGTATAATCTACTGGGTGACTGTAAGGTACTGGACAAAAGTTTTCCCCATCATGTGATTTTATATAATAAGGATGTTCTACAAGAATGACATGATTCATATCGCGATATTCCATTTGAAGTTTATCTAAGTCTTTTTCTGTGATATTATTTAGATCAACACAAATCGATTGGTTGATTGTTTGAATAAAAATTATGATTAATTTCCATTTATTGAGTAACATATTATTCTTAGAGAATATTCAACAATTTTTAATTTCACAAATGTGTATGAGTTAAAATAAAATAGTTTTGAAATAAAATATATACTGACTTAAAAATATAGAATTACAAGAATGTAACAAGACTATTTATAAGAAGTAGTTACAAGTGTATTTAAAATACCGGATTAAAAATAAACTTTTTATAAGTATTAAATTAATATATGAACAATAGTAATTTAAAATATAATTTATTAGTCATTTATATGTGCAAAAATATGTATTTTCTTAATAGAAATAATTGAAAGATAAAAGCAAATTGTACTTGCCACACGCAAACTATTAGACAGTGCGCGTTTACTTGGTCTCGTTCACTCACCTCCCCTTATCATATCAGTATGTTTGGTAGCATCGGTCTGTTATTACTGCTGATCGACATGAGTGTACATATAATAATATATAAAATTAGGTTAAAATTTAGTCTCTCGTACGAATTAATAACAAAATTATATTCACGTGTTGCTAATATAAATATTGTTTTTTCAATTTTACACATAATTTTTTTTTTTCTTGGAACATATTGAACACTTATCTTCCTTAATGCAATTTTCACTATACCAACCATGACTACATGGTATCATTATGTAACTCTTTGACTGATGATCATCATCTATTATTCAACTACGACACTTAATACAACGCGCTTCTCGTCCATCTTGGTGGTAACCGCTCATATACTAAATGCAAAATTTTAAAATTAGTTTCTTTCCTATTAGAATAGTTTACAGGAGTAGCTATTTCACTATTCAAGGATATAAGTATTATAAAATTATAATTAAATTTTTAGGGAAATGTGTTTTGTACATTAATAATCGTTTGATTATAATTTTGGATGTCATTTTAATTTGGTATATTGAATATTTAAAATATATTGGAATGGAGAATAATACAAAAATGTAAAAAATCGATCTCATGAAACATTCAAGTTCGTTAAAATGTGTAATTTTATAACCAGCTACAATAAATAGACAAATTTTAAACTCTTTTCATACAAAAAATGTTGATAGTTCAATGATAATTTTAGGAAGTTATGTTTTAAACATAAAAAGGGAATGTTTTTTTTTCACATCAATAATCATATTATGAAAAATAAGTTCTAAAAAATTACTTTTATTGTTTTGATAAATATAATATTTAAAGTATATATAACACGTTAAGTAAAATTAAACATTATTAAAAATATTATGAATTTAAAAACTGTCAGTTTGTGTTTAGCGTTGATAATGATAATATTGTTTCCGAAATACGTATCCGCGACGTTGCAGTAATTTTTGTGGCTTTTGAGTTTAATACTATTTCACAAAAATAAAATTACATCACGTCACATTATATAAAAAAACAATTAAATTTTTTTCCCTGATGTGGTTAAAATTATAGTCAAAATACTATCTTATATGTCATACAATACATTAAAAACAATAAAAATATAACAAAAGAAAAGGAATTCCATTACAAAAATTACTGATGACGTACGAAAATCTTAAAAGAATAACTATTAAATAATATACTATTTAAACATTTGTTTCAAATAGGTAAGTGCTACTAAAGTTTACAATTGCACAAACAGTTAAATTCCCTAAGAACACATGATCATATAAAATTTTGGGGTTGGTACAATTACTAGTTAAGCCATTTTTTTTAACTTTCCAGATGAAGTAATTTAAAATATAAAATTCAATTAGTTTTAGATAATAAACTAAATTAAGACGTAATTTATGTAAAATGTTGAAAACCTAATATTCAAAAATTTTTTAATATAAATTATCACCAATAAATTATTTTATTATTATTTGTAATTTAACATACTTTGAGGTTATTTTTAAAGATTTAATGACTCATTCCTTGGATTTAATAAGTATAACAAATTTTGATTTATATGCCAATGTGATAAATATAATAATTTTGCTGAAAAATAATTCACGAAAATATGCTTAAACATTTTTTTTATTATTAATATTTTTTATTTAATTCAGCTATATAAAATGTATTTTCGTAGTTCTATAAAACCAAATATTTGGTTTTTTTTAAGATTAATTAGTTTTAATGTAAAGATATTATCAAATTACTAAATTTAAAAGTTATTGAGCAGAATTAATATAAAAAAATGTTTAAATCTACAAATTATGAATATTAAATTTTAAGTCTTGATAATTTTTTAAACAAAGTGTGAAAACAGCCATATAAAAATAATAATATGATTATTCAGTAGGTTAAATTTTAGACCTCAAAACAAATTATACATCCTTTAATAATACACTAAACGTATTTTTTAAGTACAGCAACAACTGAAATGTATTTTTTTTTATATTTACTGAACTTGCAACAAAGATAGCATGAGTGTATTTGTTTATCAATACAATCATATACATATAAAAATAATAATATGATTATTCAGTAGGTTAAATTTTAGACCTCAAAACAAATTATACATCCTTTAATAATACACTACACGTATTTTTTAAAATACAGCAGCAACTGAAATTTATTCTTTTTATATATACTGATGTTATAATTTAAAATAACAAAATAAAAATAAAATAAAGGGTTGTAATTATAAGAATGTATGGCTATTTTGACCAAGGTTGGATATTTGGGGATTTGGTCAAATCGTGAGCAACGAGGTTTTATTGGGTTGTGGAGTCTGAGGGTTTAGAACAACGAAGACAAGTAGATATAAAAACGCTAGCACAGTGGGGTCGCGGCACAGTAATTACTATTACATTAAATTTATCAGAAAAGCTCAATATTTTTTTGAATTTTTATCGTAATAGATAACTTAAATAGAAATAATAGTAATCATTTCCTAGTAACTTTTGGTGTTTAAAAAGATTCTGCAATTGAAACATTCAGAACTTAATTAATTTTAATGATTTACTTTAACTAAATGAACCAATCAAAACAAAGTTGTTAAAAAAATTAACTTAATTGAGCGTATTATAAATTTGATTATAATTTTAAAAATCGATTGTTAATTCAGGAGAAACTAACAATTATTTTTTTTAGAAATGATTTATATAGTAACATGATACCAAAAAATTGGGAATATTATAGTCTAGTATAAACACACACAAATAAAGTAAAAAAATTATTAAATTACAAAGTAAAATGATTTAATTTTGTATTTGAAACCTATCATATCAAATTATCATGTCAAACTTGATTCGTCAATAAATATTTTGAAAACATTAGAAATTAATGATTTTAATTGCCTGTATGGATAACATGGGATAATTAACTGCTTAATTGATAAATTAGAGTTTTTTTCAATTTTTGAGGGTAATATTTTCAACTAGATACGAATGGTAATCATTTGACGTATCGTTGAAAAAGTAGGTCAAATTAGAACAAAGAAAATAAATGATAGTCACAAAAAAATATCTTCTCAGATTTTTATAGAAGCTAAAACTTAAAATATAGTAAAATAATTTTAATACGAATAAGAAATTTCTTCTTGCAAGGGGCGACTAAAGTGATGGGATCCTTCATCTTTATTGAAGTTATTGAATCTAAATGAGATAAAAATCAAACGAGTTAAAATTTATACTAACTTAAAAAGAATTAAGANCAAATGAGATAAAAATCAAAGCAGTTGAAAATTTATTCTAACTTAAAAAGAACTAAGAAAAAAATGCAAAAAAAAAACCATTGGCATGCACGAGTTGGAACCTTGTACACCAAGCGCGTAAGATACAAGTTTAACCGACTCGGAACCTTCCATCGACTGAAAAAATGGCAATTTAAGCAGTTTAAATTTTAAAGTTATTTTTTCGACTTAAAAAAAACGAAAAAATCAGTTTAACTCTATGCAATATCAATTTGATTTATATAGCATTTATGAAAATCAGTGTGCTCCCCTTGTAAGTTATTAAAAAAAAATAATAAAATACAAAACTCAGAATTTTAACACAAAAATAGCATATTTTTAAATACGGTAGTAATTTTTATTATGAAGACAAATCTAGAGGTCAAATTTTTTGTTTTAAATTAAAGTATATTACATAAGCTTTAATTTAAGATATTTCTAAAAGTGTCAATATTTCAGAAACACTTTCAAAAATTAAATTGAAAATGTCCTAGTTTCAATACGCATGTTTAAAGTTTTGACTCCCCTTATATAATGGGGTATGATCCGATTTATTAAAAAAGTGTGTCAGATGAAAGGGGTATATAAAAATTTATTATAAAAAATTATAATATTGATCCATACATTTTTCCAAAAGTTATATAAAATATAAATTAAATAATATAAAATATAAAATCGAGAATTTTTTCACGGAAATCGTACGTTTTTCTGTAACTTTGATGTCCGTTTTCACCACGAAGACAAGTCTAGAGGTAAAATTTTTTTTTTCAAAATAAAGTATGTTACATAAGTTTTAATTTAAAGTATATATAAAAGTGACAGACTTTCTGGAACACTTTCAAAAAGTAAGCTGAAAAAGTTAATGATAGGTAAAGACACCAAGTATCTATAAAAATAAATTTTATTGATATATTCATTTTTGAAAAAGTTATAGCAGTTTTAAGTAAAAGAAATTTCGAAAATTTCAAAAATTAGCGATTTTTAAATTTGTAATTTTTTTGGAGGATTCCCCCATTTACGGGGAACGAGGGAAATTTTTTCAATTTTTAAGGGTAATGTCTTCGACTAGATACAATTTGTAATCTTTTGACGTATCGTTGAAAGAAATCGGTTCGGTAAGAGCTGAGAAAAAGTGGTAACAGACACAAAAAAAAAAACACATCTTAGTAAAACCAATACCATCTCAGGTTCACATTGACGCTAAAATAATAAACGCAATAGTTCTTTTGCTGAGGTGTAATAGAATACAGTCTGGTTGGTATCTAATAATATGTACAACGGTACGGCAAGACAGTTCATGGATACCGTGTAATGTAATTATGTACAAGACCTTAATCAACCAGTCTAATATAATATTGTGCAATATTAATATAATGAATGGTCTATTGCTTCTGTACTCAGATTTATTAACTCTAAATAATTGGGATAACATAAATGTACTTACTTTTTGTTCTTTGCAAATTGCTATGAGATGATTCGATAAATATTTCGATACGTTTATATATACTAAGAGGTATTGGATTCGTACTTCGTCACAAGACAAAAAATTAAAACAAATTATTTTCGTTTATAAATAAGACGTGTGAAAAAAAGGTAGCCGACAAAAACACGAAGCCGTAGCTAACATTTGTTTTTGTATTTGAATTCGGTAAAAGCGAACTAGAGTCTGAAAGGATTTCAATGCTTTTTATAGTGCATGATAGTACATCCAATCCAGAGATTTTGTAATCAGCGTTTTTAATGATCTTTTTAGTTTATTGTATTTAATTATACATTACGTGATTATTATATTGAGATAGCATATTTAACAATTGATAAATTGACATATATATGAATAACAAGAAATTGTGTTGAACAGTGTACATGTTATGACAGATAAGTTATTTGTTTGTTTACAAGTAATATAAAATACAGATCATAAATTTTGAACTAATAATTAAAATAAAATTATAATGCAATATACGTATATGTCAAGCAATTTGACTTGTACAACACTTCACTTGCAAAATAAATAGCATGAGTGTATTTTTTATCAATAATTTTTTATTTAATTTGTCAAAGTATTTTACAGGAAAAAAAAAAAAAAAAATTCGAGAATAATTAAATGTTGTATTAATTGTCATAGTAATCAATACAACAATTGAGTCAATTATTCATAAGGTCAGCTCAAAGGATCCTAACTAGACGAAGACTAATATATTCATTTATAGGTTCATATAAACAAAACAACAGAATCTCTAAAAATATTTGCCGACTTATTTAAAATGAAATTAAACTTCATTACTCAGTTGTATCAAACCAAAAATCATTTGTACATTTCAATACACATAATTATACTAAAATTGAAATATATCTTCTAAAATAATCAATGAATTATTGCAATTTATGTAAAACGTGCTTTAAAATATTTTTTTACCTCAATTTAATTTAATATGGTACATTAATATCTAAAGAAACGATATAAATCTATTAATATTGCATTGCGGAAATTTTATAAGTAATATTAAACATTGAAAATACTAATATAGGTATTAATCATCAGTAAAATAATAAAAAAAGTATGTTTTAGCTCTGCTAATCGTTTTTTTTTAAATAAGATATTTGTATTTTAGCTTTAAATTGTAATTTTATTTATTCAGTTTAAAAATATATATTAAATTTTCATATAATTTATGTACGTTTTTTGACTTTTAAAAGTTAAAATCATCAAAAGGGAAAAAGTAAAACTGTAAAATATTTAATCATTTAATAAAAAGATAACTAAAACATATTACAATAATTATGACAGAATCACGCTGATAAATAAAATTCAATTATATAAAAGTATTTTTATAGTTCTGTAATACCAAATATTTGGTTTTTATTAAGAAGCACAACTCTCATGATGAAGTTTAAAATAAGGTTTTTCATCTCCTCCTTGGCATAATCACTTCATAGCCGATCGATGAGAAGAAAAGTGCGACCGAAAAATGACTAGAAATAAAAACACAATTACCCGCGTCTTACTTACGCATATTAATATAATATGTTAAATTAGTAAAACTGTAACATTATAAACAGACAATATAATGCATTGCTAGTGTAATATTCAGTATCTAGCATATAGTAGCAATGAATGTCCTAGTAATTTAATCAAGTTTTCATAATGATTAATTTTGAATAGCATTATTTAAAAATGTAATTTCATATAAATTAGGAACATGTATATTAAAGGAACAAAAAGAGTTTTAAATAAATTAAATTATTATTAATTAAAGAAATAAAATTAATAAATTTATTCATTGTTTAACAAATTTACACACAATGTACATGTAGTACCAATGCGCCATAATGAACACGGTTTATTCTGAATGCAATTTATTGTTATTTAATGTTATACACAATTTATCTGTTTTTTTGTGCTTACATATTAAACACTTTTTGTCCTCAATGCAATTTTCACAATACCAACCATGACCACATGGTATCATTATGTGTCTGTTTGAATGATGAACATCATCTTTTATTTGACTACGACACTTTATACAACGCGCTTCTCGTCCATCTAAGATACATCTTGGAGGTAAGGACTCATACACTAAATGCAAATATTAAAAATTAGTTCGTTTTTTAGTACGAAAATTTAGAAGAGTGAGCAGCTATTTTACATTTTATTCAAGGATATTAAGTAATATAAAATGACGATTAAACTTGAAAGGGAATGTTTTTTTCACATCAATAATAATATTGTTTCCGAAATACGTATCCGCGACGTTTCAGTAATTTTTTGTGGCTTTTAAGTTTAATATTTTTCAGTTTTTTATTTTAATATAGTTTTAATTTTACTTAATTAATTAAATACAAGTGATGGGTTTTTGATTATAAAAAAATTTTTATAACAAATTTATTTTTATAACATGCATCTATTAAAAATAGAATTTGTATTTCTTTTTTTATTTATTTTTCACAAATCACATCACATTATATAAAAAAATAATTAAATTGTTTTCCCTGCTGTGAGTTTTTTATATTAAGAAAATAAAATAAAAATAATTATTATAATAATATAATAAATAAAATTTTTTTAATAATGAAATTTTGAATGGCATTTCTAATTGGTCTATTGAAAATTTAAAATATATTAGAATGGAAAATTATACAGAAGGGGAAGGAAGTAATGGACCTCATGACTCCTTAAGGTTTGTTAACAAAATGTATATTTTGATATCCGGCCACAATAAATAGACTATTTTTAAACTCTTTTCTTACAAAAAATAATGATAGTTCCATGATAACTTTAGGAATAAATAGTTTCAAATATTTTTTGAACATGAAAACAAGAAGGCAATATTTGTTAAAATAATAAATTGTTTAACAAAATAGTTATTGTAAAAAAGTTATTAGATTTGTTATATCATCGAGACTGACACATTTCATATACATTGAACGAAAAGAAACAGCTTTCTCTATATCAACTTAATTAAAAAAATTCAACCACGTACTCTCCTAATTTGTATACGACTTAACATTTCAATTAATTTTTATTCGTAATCTATTTCTTTAGCTATTGAAAATAAGAAATGCTTCTAATATTTTATTTTATTAATATTTCAGTAAGTAATTATAATGTATATACCTTTCTTAACTATTGACACAGATGTTCGTATATCTAGTTTTTGAGTACTTGTAATCAATTCATTACACACAGGACAAGCTTCAATTTTGCCAACACACTCGTTACAGCACCAGCCATGTCCACACGGTGAAAAAAAGTAAATAACCCAAATATTACCACTGTGTTCTGTCTTACATATAATACATGAGGTTTGATCTACAGAAAAAAAAAGACGATTCTTAAATATCTTAACTCAGAAGAGTTGTTTCTTTAACATGTATAGTTATCTACCAAATATATATTAATAGAATAATTTAAGTTTTTTTATATCTATATTTATTAAATTTTCCAATAATTAAATTATCTTGAAATTGATTGACAAATTTTTACATGAAAATATTTCATAAATTATAAAAATTATTATTATTCTTTCATAAATAATGTAATAAAAGGTTATAAAAAAATATTCCTTCTTACTTTTGTCTCCAGTTATATCTTTCAAAGTAGGAGAATATTCTTCTAAAGTCAAATATTCAACTATATTGTCATAATTCATATTATTGTAGCATACTAAATTGCTTATAGTCATTTCATTTATTGTTTCATTTTTAGGTTCTCTTAAAAAGTGCACTTTATCTTTCATTAAATTCATACAGCCTAATAAATCATTTCTGTAATTTTCGTTTTCTCTTTTAAATTTGTATTTGTTATTTTTTTTTTCGTATTTTTTGTAAACATCTAAAATACATTCATGAGGTTTAGGAGAAATCCATTCTCTATTAATTATCGGTATAAGTTCAGTAAGTTTTTCACTAAATAATTTTAAGTAAAATGATATTTCAGCACATCTTTTATTCATTTCTATAGCAAACTCGCAGAACCGATACATAAATGTGAAGACTATACTTTCAATAGCGTTCAAATAAATCGTATACGCCAATTTAAATTTTTTTTTGCTCCTACATCTTTGAACCACATCTGTCAAACTTTTGTTTACTATTTCTATACCTTCATAAGGAACTTCTTCACAGTCTACTGCATGACTCCAAGGTACAGGACAAAAGTTTTCCTCATTGCGTGATTTTATATAATAAGGATGTTCTATAAGCTTGACACATTTCATATCTTCGTATTCGCTTTCAAGAGTGTCTATGTCCTCAACTGTAATGTTATTTAGATCAACACATATTGATTGGTTGATTGTTTGAATAAAACGAATTATTAATATCCATTTAGTGAGTAACATATTATTATTTTAAGAGAATATTTAACAATTTTTAAAATTCACAATTTTTTATCAATTAAAATTAAACAGTTTCGAAATAAACTATATACTAACTAAAAAATTTTGAATTATTCAAATAACTGCGATAAGACTATTTATAAGTAGCAGTCACAAGTGTATTTTAAAAACATGATCAAAAGCAAACTTTTATTATGTACTTTAATAATATATGAACAATTGCAATTTAAAATATAATTTATTAATTATTTATATATGCAAAATTACGAATATTTTTTAATGAAATGGTTAATTGAAAAAAGCATATGATCATTATATTTAAAATAAAATTGTCATATAAAAATATGTATGCATATTATATGAGTTATATCGGTTCGACATTGATGAATTTATAAATTTATATTTTAATCAGAGAAAGTGCGGCACAATTTAAAACAAAATGGTCTTTTTCGACTAAAAAAACAGTAATATTTATAAACTTTTATTGAAAATGTTTGAAATAGAATTTTTTATGGAAACAACAACAATTTTTTATAATATATTTTTTATTAAGTTTGGCAGGAAGTTACTTCTTTTAAGTTAGGTAATAGATATTTAGTTATTTTTTAACAATTCTTAAATTAAGCAATAGAACTGTAACATTCCAGTTAAATAATAATATTAGTAAATCACTCTTTTAAATTAATTAATAATCAGTTTTACATAATGAGAATTCGGCTATTGGTCTAAATATATCAAGAAATTTTTCTAACAAAGTTTTATGATGAATATTTTCTTTAAGCGATTTAATTGGAACTTAAGGATGTCTACTTGTCCTTTTCTCCTCTAAATGAGTGTAAATAATAAATAACACAATTTACGCATTGACGCAAACGCACATGTATTTATTTAAGAATTTACATTAAATTCGTTTAGTAAATTAAATTTAGATTTCATATCATTATTCATATAATTTATGTTTTAGGATAGCTTTACAAGTAATAATTATAATTGTTTTAAATAACCTTTGTCAAAAATATTTTTTAGAACGATTCCATATTAAAAAAATTTATAATATTATAGTCTAGTAGTAGCACACACAAATAGAGTTAAAAAAAACACAGCACAGGGGGATCGCGGCATATTTGGATCAAGTATAATGATATCTGACGGTGATTAAAATCACTATCAAAATAAAACGCTTCGATGCAAATCTTTAGATAGTGTTTAATTTTAAAAAATACACTTTTTAATAAGTTATAGCATTATAAAGTTAAAAATGTGAAAAATAAAATCGAGAATTTTCACACAAAAATAGCATTTGGTAGCCATTTTCACCATGAAGATAAGTCCAGAAGTCAAATTTTTTTTTTTCAAATTAAATAATATTACATTAGCTTTAATTTAAGATATATATAAAAGTGTCAGACCTTCCGGAACATTTTCAAAAGTTATGTTGAAAAAGTAAATTTTTTGTGAAAAAGTTGTCATTTNAAAATTTGTTGTGAAAAAGTTGTCATTTTAAATCCCCCCCTGTGGGCAGATAAAGGATCAAATTTAAAAAAAAAAATATATCAAATGATAGGTAAAGACATCAAGCATTTATAAAAAAAAATTATATTGATATGTTCATTTTCGAAAAAGTTACGACAGTTTTTATTAAAAAAATTTCGAAAATTAGCGATTTTTAAATTTGTAATTTTTTTGGAGGTTTCCCCATTTACGGGGAACGAGAGATTTTTTTTAAATTTTTGAGGATAATGTCTTCGACTAGATACGATTTGTGATCTTTTGACGTATCGTTGAAAGAAATCCGTTCGGTGAGAGCTGAGAAAAAGTACCACTTTTTCTCAGCTCTCAACAGACAAAAAAAAAAAAAAAAAACACATCATAGTAAAACCAATACCTTCTCAGCTTCGCATTGAAACTAAAACATTTTCAGAAAGACGCCTCAACGGCCCGCATACCTCATAGTTATGCGGGTCGCCTTGGATGAGGCGGCTTCTACCCCGTGGAAAGCCATAGGAAGAGGGAGGTAGGCCGAGGCTACTCATCATTAAATAGCCTAGACCCGGACAAGCAAGAACTAGAAATAGGCAGAAGGAATGTGGTCTGGACCTAAGGGACCCACACCTGGGAGACGAGAAGGCTCCGGTGTCGCGGGGGATGGCGATATTCACCCGACACCCACCCGACCATATTAAAAATACATTAAATATTTAAAAAAGTTTAATTATTAACTTATACTGAAATACTTGCTGTTAAAAGTGAAAAAATGTAATACTTTGATATTATTACAATGATATTATAGAAATTATCTATAGTTCAAAAATTCAATACATTTTAAAATAAATATATGACACAAAAAATAATAATGCTAAAAAAAATGGTTTAATCAGATTTCATGTATTATCCTATTAATTCCTGAAATAAACACGTATGTTTTAGCTCTGTTTAAAACGCTCAATGACGCCAGCTTTTTACGACTTAAACTTTGAAATTTTCATCAAATCCGCCCAATGACATTCCTGAGATATGATAAAAAAATAAATTCAATCCATTCATTTTTCACCAATGTACCACGTATAATAACCTGCTAAATTTTTTTTAATTATTCTATAATATAAACACAATTATTATAATTAGATTATTAATAAATTTTTGTATATAACAGGGGTCTATTTAAGAGAGATATGGGCCCCCCTTTGACCAGCGCCTAATGTCCTTTTTTTCATCATTACTTTAATTTTACCAAAAAAATTTCTATAACATGTTTAACAAAGTAAAAAATATTAAATACCTTCATAATCTAATTTTTGAATATGTCTAAAAGGAATTAACAAACGTCAACCTTATACCCAAAACATTTTACTATATTTTCTTTTGAATTTTCCTGATTTTAATAATAACTTCTTTAGATATAGTTTTGTACACTGATTCTGATATAATATTTTTTCTGAAAAACACTTATCGTGCCCTGCACTTATCGGGTACCCCTACCGGACTCAGTGGCCTACTTATGATGACTGCCCTAAGAGGATTACGCGCCGAAGTCGCTTAATGCTCAAAGGGCTTCGGGTCTTGGGCGGAGCCTCAGCTAGGCGGAGCCTAGTACTTAATAATTTAAATAAAAAAATAACTTTAACAGATTAAAATAACTATGATAGAATCACGCTGATAAATATAATTCATAAATTTAAAATGTAATTTATAGTGCCATAAATTCAAATTTTTGGTTTTTATTAAGATTAATTCTTTTTAATGTAATGATATAACCTTATAAATCAATTTAAATGTTATTGAGCAGAATTAATATGAAAAAATAATTAAATCTACAAGTATAAAAAATGAAATTTTAAGTCTTTGTTATCATTTATGCATAAAAAAAATTGATTAGGTATTATTCTAAAATAATAAAAACATTTCTGCATATTTAATAGTCTTTACTAACATCTTAATATACGAGTAGAATAAACCATTAAAAAAGCTCTGGGGTCCGTGGAACAGCTATCATCATGATATTTAAAATCGACTTTCTAATCTCCTGAATGTCAAAATCATTTGATAGCCAATCAACTAGAGGAAAAGTGCGACTGACAAATGACTAGAAATAAAAACACTATTACCCGTGTCTTACTTTTGCTTATTAATGTAATATGTTAAATTAGTAAAACTGTAACATTATAAACAGACAATATAATACATTTCTAGTGTAATATTCAGTAGAAAGCATATAGTAGCAATGAATGTTCTAGTAACTTAATCATGTTTTCATAATGATTCATGTTGAATAGCATTATTTAAATATGTAATTATGTACAAATAAGGAAGTTGTATATATAAGGAACAAATTATTTATATTGAACATTCATTGTATTTGTATTTATGCGTATTAACTAAAAATCTCATTTATTGATATTGAAATATTTTTATTTTCATATAAAGTGTTATTGTAAATTTTCGAAATCATATTATATTGTTAATTGTAAAAAATAATGTTTTATGTTGAATGGTTACAAATATAAAAAAAATCAAAGTAATTGGCCACAACAGAAAATTTGTAACTTTCATGGCGCATTGAAAAATACAAAAAGAAAGGGGCGAGACAATATATTATCGGAACACAGTTGGATTTTAAAAAGAAAAAAATAAATCTTGTACATTAAAAACAATTTAAGATAAAAAAAATAGAAATGTAATAAAGGTTGATGTTGATGTCTGTTGAGTCGTTGATAGTAGATATACACCAAAATCTCGTGACAGTTGTTACATAACCATGATGATCAGGGACGACCTTCTACATGGCCGTTGCCCGTATCTTATAAACTAGGGGAAGTTAATTTTTGAAAGGAAAAAATACACGAGTTCATTGAAGATGGAACAGCAAAAAAAAAAATAAGATGATAGTTAAGTTATATTAAGGGGACTTTATTAAGTGAAAAAAAAGACAAAAAAAAATTAATTTAATACGAGACAAAAAACCGAACGGTCAAAAAACCTCGTCTACAAATTAATGGTAAACAGAAAAAAAAACAGACATTAATAAAAAAATAGTCACATCTACACTTTAACCATCAGAGAATACGATGAACGTCTTCGGGTACCCAACCGACTAATAATCGCGGCATGACCTCTAAGCACAGCGGGTATTCGCCCCAAGTAAGCGACTGGTTTTAAACAGTTAGACTTAACTTGCAAAACGCTGGGAATAAAATGCACTGCATCACCACATTGCACTAATATTATGTACACGCCTGTCATGTTGAGGGACCTAAATAAAAAAAATAGGGCACCTACAAAAAAAATTTAGTAAAAAAAATAAAACAAATTCTCCACACATGCTTATGGCACTGCGCACTAAAATTATACTCTGGCTCAAAACATGATAAACAAAAATTATTAAGGGCTAACGAAACAGGAGGCAGGTTTAGCTGACGCCAATAAACGAAAAAATTACATTATACTTATAGTAGTGGACATTCACGAAAATATATATATAAAAAACCACGATGTTGCAGCGCACACAACAACAACAAAAAACTCACGCTAAGAACGAAAACTAACAAAACCAGTTAAAAGTATGGTTAATTTTTGACCTAACTTCCGTCGTTTGACACGGCG